AGTCCGAAGATTTCTGTGCCAAGCTTGAGATTTGCCCCTTGATGATACTCAAGGACAATTGCTGGTACAGACTAGATTGTAGCAGGGAAGAATATGTTCCACAGAGTACTTTCAAGAATTAAAATTCCTTAACTCACACCAAGCAAAGAAGCCCTTCCAGACGCAATGGTAGACTTCAAAAAAAGTCTGTTTTCTAGCTTTCAAGAGTGTAAGAAGGACTGATTCTGATAGGCCTATGTCGCTCAAGACCATGGCTTCAACAGGTATGCCATTAAAGCCAGTGACTGAGAAGCAAGATGGAACATGGGCTCTTTGGATAAGAGGTCCAGACAATCCAGAAGGACCCATGAAGCACCAAAGTGACTGAGTATATCTGAGAACATGGTCCTCCTGGGCCAATCTGGTGTGAGGACCATCAGAATGCCCTTCTTCTCAAACCTGGAAAGTAGGCAAGAATTCGGAGGAGCAAAAAAACAAAGATCAGGTTGAAATGATCCCCAGCTTTACCAGAGCATCCACTGCAAATGCCTATAGGTCCCTGGACTTGGCGACATGCCCGTCATGTTTTATGCTGAATCTAAACATTAGAAGGTGCACTGCTGGCGTCCCCCACCTGTGTTAGTGGACTAGATCTCTCACCCTCTTCCCTTCCTTTCCCCTTTCTCTTTATTTTTTCTCTTTCATTTTAACTTGCTAAAAATTGGTATGCTCAGCCCTTAGTTGGAAAGGTCTCACATTAGACTTCTCCATTTACCAGGAACTTCTTTTGGATGTTAAAAGGGACTCTCTTCCATTGCAAGGTGGGCGTTTATACAACCCGCCTAGAGGCGCCCCCTAAACCTCTAAAGACTCGTCTTTTGGCTGCTTGGGCTTCTTGTCCACCTCTAATTTCATCTTCTGATAACTGTTCCGAGAGATCCTATTTTCATCAGGATGCACCCACATTTTGATTGAGCAAATGCTATTTTGTATGGATATGTTTTGCGAAGTTACCATTTCATTGTATATGTTGCATACCACTAAATAAAAATAAAATTAAGATGCAATACAAATATGGTAGAATGTTTGATAAGATAGCCAGGAGGCAGCTTCACAAATTTAATGCTAAAAACCCCAGGAAGCACTCACAAATCTTGTAGAGTACACCTTGGCTGGAAAAAGGTGGAAACGCTGCCCTTCAGACCATAAGCGGAGATGAAGATCTTTCTAAAAACACCTTAGTGGAACAAAGAGTATGTATACCAATATAGAGTGCATCCAGGATTACAAAAGGGAATCAAGCAGTGGCTGAGAGATATGACCCATACCCCTTCTAGACAATGAAGGTAAATTTCCTTTTGGTGAACTGGAATCAGACAGAGGGATTGGAACAATGTCCTGGTTAAGGTAAAAGGCAGAAATTATCTTAGACAAGAAGGAAGTTCTGGGCCTTAACACCATATTGTCTATGCACAACCAAAAAGGATTCTTTGCAAGGCTGCCAGTTCAGCTACATAAAACACCGCCTTGTGGGTGAGAGTAAAGAGAGGAATATGCTGTGTTCAACCCGTGATTTCGGAGAAACAGGAGAACCAGAATTAGAGCCCAAAAAGTAATAGAACAGATGGAGGCGCTCCCAGTACAAAGATCCTAATCAAAGAGAAAAAGGCAAACAGTTTCTTAAACATCACTGTCAACAGTCAGATTTTTGCCCTTCCTATTCTTTGTTCCAGATGCTGGTTCAGACCCAGCTGCAGGAAAAAAAATTTGTCCCAGAAAGAAACTCCTCAGGTGGAAGCTCAAAGACTCACACAAAACAAAAGTATGCCTTCCATGACCTATAACAGACTTTGGGAGAAGTTGACTTCTTAGCTTTCAACAATATAGGAATCACAAAATTTAGAGATGCCCCTATCACTTAGAACCTAAGCTCCGACAGCTATGCTGCTAAAGCCAGATGTAATGGAGGATGGCAAATCAATCCTTGGGACAGAAGATCCTGATGATCCATTAGAGCCCAAGGAGCGTCTGCCAGAAGCCTTAAAAGGTTAGAATACCATACCCATCTAGGCTATTCAAATACAATAACTATCAACTGAATGCCTCCATCTCAATCCAGCAAAACAGATGAGGAAGTAGGTGAAGTTTCAGGTGAGCAAAGGCATAGTATAAGATGTGCTGATTCCACTGAGCATCCACCTCGAACACTAAAGGATCCCTGTATTTGGAGACAAATGTGTTAAGTTTGTTGTCGAACCTGAAGGCTAAAATGTTCACATCTGGCATTTCCTACTTGCAAAACAGGTCCTGGAACACTACCGAGTGTAGGGACCATTGTCGGGGGTCCAGGTGCCGCTAGCTGAGGAAGACTGTGCCAACACCTGGAATATACATTGTTAACAAGACTGGAATGTGAAATTCCTGCAAGAATAGTATTCTATCTAACTCTCCTGCCACGGGAAAACTTATGTTTTTTCCCATATCAGCTACTGCTTGCCATTTTCTGACTAAATCTGGATTGGATAACCCTCCAATAGAATGGTTTAATGCTGTGGCAACAGCCAAGTTCCAAAATGTTAATTTGGAGAAAATACTTCTAATGACCAAGTACACTGCATGACAGAGTACCCAGGACCCCCAGCTGGCAGCTGACATATGGGTCCTCCAAAAGACAAGGAAAAAAAAAAAAAAAAAAAAAAACTTGTCTGACCCCAGAGACAGATTTTTGAACAACTAGAGCAGGGACAACCTGTTTTTCTGTGATAGATGAATAGATCTGAGACCAGACTGACTTGTCCCACAACAAAATGTTGTGTTGTGGAGGTCTGGAGTAATATTAGGCAATGGGAATTACGTGAAAGAGATCATCAGACCTAAGACTCTCATGCAAAAGCAGAGAGTTGGACAGCTCCTGGATGGGAAAGTTTGAATCGGAGTTGATGCACTGGTAAAATGGGAACATGTAAGTAAACATAATTTAATATTCAAATAAGCCAGAAAATCTCCCTGGTAAAGATTTTGTTTGACTGTATGTGAAATTTGTGGACTCGAAGACGTTTTAGAGATTTGAAATTGGGAAAAGGGCAAACGCCCCCCTTTTGGGCTTGGGAATGTTGAACAGGTTGTGGTAAAACCACCTCTGGAATCATTCTGACACAGGAACTAGGACAATGCCATCATGATCCAAAAGAACCGAGAAGGCTTGATGAAGATATGTTAATCTGTCCAGTGACACAAGATGGATGGAGGTGAAAAACATAGGAGGGCAGGGAGCTAAACTCCATTTTGAAGCTATAAGATACCACATCTGTCACCCAAGCATCCGGGATGCAAGCTTTCCAAGCATTTGCACACATTAACAAATGGTGCCTACTCTGAAAAGAGGAGGGGGGTACCATGATACCATAAAAGAAGGCATGCCTGGAGATTTGGCACACTGAGTGCAGCTTAGAGGGAGAATACTTTTCAGTCTGTTCCCCTGTTCCTTGAGCTTCTTCCATTAGAGTTCACCATGAATGGCCTTAAAATGATTGCTCTCACTCTGGTGAGGAGCCAAGAGTGCTGGCAGGGGACCACAGGAGAGGAGGATCAGGGAGGCTCTGAAAAACCACTGCACAGAGCAGGTAAGCATAACAAGCTTTTATTTTAAGAAACTAGAATTTGCTCTTTACAATCACTTTAATGCTGTATGAGGGGAAATACAGCATGGAGTACACATGAATGTAATACATTTGGCAGATCAGGGCTCAGTCCCACAGCATTGATCTCTATAGCAGTGACTGAATGAAAAAAATAAAGAAAAAAAATCTATGTTAAAATATGCTAGAAAAAATGGTCTTCACACATCACAGCTGTAGAAAAGACATCCTCCTTCCAGGACACTATCAAAAGAAAACAAAACTGAGGCATGCTGGTAGTAGGATGGGTTTTCTTGGGCTGGCCCCTACAGTTTATTTTGTTTGCCAGTGTCCAATCCTGCTGTAAGCAGCAGTATAACCCAAAGATTATAGACTTTAGGCTAGGTTTTGTATGTAAAAATCCATATTTATATAATATCATGACTCTACTCACTCCAGCTGAGGATAAATGCCAACCAATATACCAAGGACAACGGTAATAGGCTTACAATTTGGTCAGACAAGGGATCAATTAGAACCTCTGCCTGTGTCCCTATTGGGAGACTTCCTATCACTTCTGTCTCTGTGATACCACAAGAAATAAAAGCACTTTTTTAGTAGGGACAGACAACACAAAAACATGACTTGTTCCAGCCTTTCCACCTGTTAAAGTGTTTCTAGTCTGCATCCCCATTCAAAATGTCCCTTTTACTTCTTGTCTTGCTGACATGAAAGAAGTGAATGGAACTTGCCCCCATAGGGACACAAGCCACAATAAAGCATGATAGACATTCTAATGCTTTCCAGTTTTATCCAATTATGGAACCTATATCTCAGGCTGCTAAAATGAATGCCAGCGTTTACTGGTTCATGCACAGCCTTCTCTCTAAACCCAATGCAATACAGATGTAATACACATAGAAGCATGCATGGATGGCTGCACATCAAAAGGCTCCGTTCCTGTGCAGAAACACACAGGAGAAATATGTGCTAAATCTGACTGTTGGGGAATAGATATAATACATAAATTAAAGCAGCCCTGAACCCTCGGAAGAGCTCTGGCTAACCAGCCAGCCAATCAGAAGCTCTGCCTGAATACCGCTCCTAGATCATGACAATGGACACATGACCCCTTATCAGATGTTGCTAGATCTGGGACCTGGAGTCACAGGTAGCCTGAAGCAGTTGTTCAGCAATAAAGGTTTTAATAGCAGATTACAAATTCAGACCACGGAGAGGTGTAAAAAAAAGCATAGTTCCAAGGGTTTTGGTCAGCTTTAAAGTAATACTGAGTGGATGGTTTGGCTTTAGCATTGGCAACTCAAAGATTGATTTTATTGGTCTGCTGATGATGCTCTTTAAATATGCAAAGACTTTGCCAGCCGCTGGATTCTTTTCACTCACCAGCTCCCCGCCGGGAAGGTTCACAGATGAAAGCAGTAATACAGAGTCCAGGCGTGTACTTGTATCCACTTTCCATCGCTTCTGCTGTACCTGCAATAACAGATAATAAAAAAACAAAAACATTTATGAAGCGTTATTATAATCATACCTGCGGTCAGGTATGATTTTCTATCACTGACAAACAGTCTGCAGTCAGAATTTTACAAAATCCTTACTCCCGACCCTGTAAATGGCTTAAAGTAACTAAACCCAGAACCCTGCATTCACTATATCTGGTCTGCCACAGTACACAGATCATGGAAATGCAATTATTTTAGTAAATATAAACTGCTAAATACCTTTTATCAGCAGTATATGGCAGTCTTGTGACGATCAGTGTCTGGCTGAGCACTGGTTTAAAGCTTGTAGGAGGAGTTTTCATTCTCCTCTCACTGTCCTATAAGACTGCAGGACCCCTGAGCCTCTGTCTGGACAGTGCTGATCACATGCATCCTCCCAAGAAAAAGGAAAAAAAAAAAAAAAACTCTAGCAATATACACCAAACTGAGCATGTGCAGCTTGCCCCCAAGGCTCTGTTCTATCAGGAGGTGAAATGGAGACTGGAATAAGGTGAGGATCAGAGAAGACAGGTTCAAACAGTCTTTTTAAACAAGAGAGAAGAGAATTAATCCCCTAAGTTCCACATTGAGTATAACAAGCATGCTTTGCTGAATATACAGATTGATTTTTACGGTTGTGGGTTTAGTAACACTTTAAGGTCAAATCAGTGGGAGTCTCTGCATAGAATATACTATCTACTGGAAGCATCCTTAACATTTACTGTATTTGGGGTTTCACCCGGGCTGAAATATATGCAAAAAATACCGAACATGTAAAAGCGTACGAAGGGTGCAATGTTTCCTTCTACAATACTAGAAATGACCATATGAGGATACAGGAAAGCCTTTAAAGACCTGCAATAAAAGTTGCTAATTTTTACAATGCACATAGTTAAAAGAAGAATTGGGCCATACTTCTCTTCTGCACTCCTGGGACCCTGAATCAACTGACAACAGGATAAAGCACACTGTCAGGTGACGTCACAGACCTGCTCCAGGCTTTGCAAAGGATCCCCACCATATTACTGGGACCCTCCCAGCTGCCTGATAGCTGGCTCTGGCTCTATGCTCGTGGATGACCGAGCAGCCCCTCAACAGCCTGGCGCTCCTGTAAGCGCTGGAGGGGCAGAGCAGGGACATGCGACTGACAGTTGTCGCTCTCTGCTCAGAGCCAACCGAGAACTGAGAGATCAGTGGTCATGTAATCGCTCAGTTCTTGAACTTAAGAGTCTGCGGAAGACAGCTGCAACATCACAATAATGCTGCAGCATAAAGGGTAGTGATTATTGATTTTCTGGAACCCCACACTTCAACCTGGAAGAGAATTGTTCCCCTAGATCCCCTACAACAACATTGGAAAAATCCTCATTAGAAATGAGTGGGTCAAATGCACTGATGCAAAGTGTTCACACTCCAATGCAAAGGCAACCACAAAAACACAAAGAGAGCACATACCTCTGTAATTCTCCCCACAACAACATCACCAACTTCCCCATTGTACCTAGAAAACAAATAATACATGTTAAATATAAAAATGTCAAAACCAAGATTGGATAAACTTTTAATCTAGGATTATAAAATAGACAGAATCCAATGTACACTTTACTGTATGTCAGGGCAACAAAGATGAGAGAAACAGGAAGTTACAATTCTTAACCTGCTTTTGACAATGCTAGCTGCCTGGCTGTCACAACTAACAATATAAGGACTTCTGACTTTTCTGATCTGCTTGCTTGTTCAATGTCAGTGACCTATAGGGTATTCAAGCGAGACAACTGGAATTACAAGACTATTAAGCAATTGCCGACCCCAAGCATGTATGAAAACTAACAACTTTTCTCTGGCTCTTCTGATCTACATACTTGCTTTGGGTCAGTTACCTAAAATCCCAAAAGCTCAAAAATTAAAACCCAAGCAAACAATTTTCAGAAGAAGGTCAGAAATGAGTTTCCATACTTCCCCATGACAGCTTTGTTTAAAGTGGAATTAAAGTCCACATTTTAAGTTGTACCTACAGATAAGCCCATAATAAGGTTTACCTGTAGGTACAGAGAATATCTCCTAAACCTGCAACGCTTGGCAGATATTCACACAGCATGCAGCCGGTGATCTGCATCCTTTAGAGCTCTGTGCCGCAGCCGAGGGCTCCCGCGTGCGGGAGTGACGCATAGCAGATACAATGATGCATAGCATACAGTAAAACAGCACACAGTTAACCCTTTGATCGCCCCAGATGTTAACCCCTCCCTGCCCAGTGTCATTAGTACAGTGTCAGTGCTTTCTATTAGCACTGATCACTGTACTGGTGTCACTGGGGATGTCAGTGACAGTCTGTTCCCCCCCAGTGTCAGAATGCCCGCCGCAGTCCAGTTATAAGTCGCTGATAGCCATTACTAGTATAAAAAAAATCCAGCATCTATACCGCCATTTGTAAACGCTATAACTTTCACGTAAACCAATTAATTTACACGTATTGGATTTTTTTTTAGCAAAGACATGCACACATTTTGGCCTAAATTTATGACGAAATTAGATTTTTAAAAAATTTTTACTGGACATGTTTAATAGCAAAAGTAAAAAATATAGTTTTTTTTTTATAGTGCAAAAAAATTAAAAACACAGAGGCGATCAAATACCACCAAAAGAAAGCTCTATTTGTGGGAAAAAAAGGACATAAAGAAATTTCATTTGAGTGCAGCGTTCCATGACTGCGCATTTGTCAAAGTAACGCAATGCCATATTGCAAAAAATGGCCTGGTCAGGAAGGGGAGTGGTTAAAGGAGATGCAGGAATATCTGGCAAGTACTGGCTGTGTGGTACATGTGACAACAATCTCCCGTATTCTTCATATGTCTGGGCTATGGGGTAGAGTGGCAAGACGGAAGCCTTTTCTTACGAAGGAAAAACATCCAAGCCTGGCTAAATTTTGCAAAAACACAGCTGAAGTCTCCCAAAAGCATGTGGGAAAATGTGTTCTGGTCTGATGAAAGCAAGGTTGAACTTTTTGGCCATAATTCCAAAAGATATGTCCGGCGCAAAAACACTGCACATTACTAAAAGAATACCATACTCACAGTGAAGCATGGTGGTGGCAGCATCATGCTTTGGGGCTGTTTTTCTTCAGCTGGAACTGGGGCCTTAGTCAACGTAGAGGGAATTATGAATAGTTCCAAATACCAGTCAATATTGGCACAAAACCTTCAGGCGTCTGCTAGAAAGCTGAACATGAAGAGGAACTTCATCTTTCAGCATGACATCGACCCTAAATCAGTGTTTCTCAACGTTTTTGCCTTTGAGGAACCCTTTACAAAAAGTTTGAGGTGTTGGGGAACCCTTGAAAAACATTTTCAGATCCACAGCTCACGGAACATTGAATCTGATCAGTGAGCTGTAGATGAAGCACATGGCTGGATGATTAGGTGGTATTCAGTGTATGGCAGCGCTGAATGCAGAGAGGGGGAGCAGAAGGGCGGGGGCTTGTGGCTGGATGAGACTAAATGTAGCATGAGGTGAGATCACAATAGCTTCATGTACAGTACATTTATGGCATAATAACAAAATGCTAGTATCGTCTCACATCCTGCTACATTCAGTGTGATCCAACTATGTGCTCCCGCTCTCTGCAGTCTGGATGTCACCTCCTGCCTCCTTTCTTCCCCTCCTTCAGCACTCTCACCTCTCATACAGCCATTTGCTCTGGTGGCTCTCTGCTTCCTCCTCCTTGCAAACTGCAATACCGCGGCTGTAACAGGATCTCGCCTCCTAATCCAGCCATGTGCTCCAGCGGCTCTCTGCCCTCCTTCCTCCACCACCCCTTGCACTCTGTGTCTCTGTAGCTGTGGGATCTCACCTCCCAAAGCAAGCCACATGCTCCTGCTCTGTGCTCAGCGCTGTCACAAAACGCCACCACCTCCTTCTTCAGCTCCCGTACTCTGCACTACTCCTGGCCCCGCCCTTTGAATTTATAGGGGCCGGAATTATAGAGAAGGCATTGGGTATCAATGCGTGCTGACACTACTGTCAGCACACTGTGAACAACAATGGAAACAATAGGCGGTATACATCCGCCATAATGTTGTTACATTGCGGAACCCCTGGGTACTTCATGCGGAACCCCGGTTGAGAAACACTGATCCAAATCAACAAAGGAATGGCTTCACCAGAAGAAGATGAAAGTTTTGGAATGGCCCAGCCAGAGCTCAGACCTGAATCCGATCGAAAATCTGTAAAGTGGTCTGAAGAGGGCTGTGCACAGGAGATGCCCTCACAATCTGACAGATTTGGAGTGTTTTTGGAAGGAAGAGTGGCCAAATATTGCCAAGTCAAGATGTGCCATGCTGATAGACTCATACCCAAAAAGACTGAGTGCTGGAATCAAATCAAAAGGTGCTTCAACAAAGTATTAGTATAAGGGTGTGCACACTTATGCAATATTATTATTTTAGGGTTTTTTTTGTGTTTACTTCCCCCCCCCCCCGTAAAAGATTTCCGTTTGTTTTGCAATTGAGTTGTATAGTTTATAGGTCACATTAAAAAGGTGGAAAAAGTTCTGAAATTATTTGTCTAATCTTTTTACATCACAGAAACATGACATTTTAACAGGGCGTGCAGACTTTTTATATCCACTGTATGTTTTATAGCAAAAAATCAAAAATTTTTTTTTTCAAAATTGGTCTTTTTTTGTTAATAGCACAAAAATAAAAACCACACAGTTGATCAAATACAACCAAAAGAATCCAGGGAATATCCGATTGCCTCTCGGGGTATCAGGAAGTAATTATTTTCCCTGCAGGAGCAAATTAAATCATGCTTTACTGGGTTTTTTTTGCCCTCCTCTGGATCAACTGTGAGTATAGGATTAGAACTTTTTTTTTTTTCTATGGTAGAACTGGATGGACTTTTGTCTTTTTTCAGCCAGACTAACTATGTAACTATGTAAGAAAGCTCTATTTGTGGGAGAAAAAAAAAGGACATAAATTTCAGTTATGTACAGCATTGCATGACCGCGCAATTGTCAGTTAAAATAACACAGCGCTGTATCTCAAAAAATGGCCTGGTCAGGAAGGGGGGGTAAATCCTTGGAAGGGCAAGTGGTTAAAGTGACCGATGTATTTATGTACAAGAGAAAAAAAGGAATTAAAAAACATGGATGCACCTACGTGCGTCAACTTATGTAGGCATGATTAAAACCAATTAAATTTATTGAGAAAAAATTAAAAACAAAATGAAAATGCACATGGGTCTGCCTTTGATGTGTGTGCTTATTGACCTTTTCTTCTGGTGGTTGACTTCATTTTTTCATGAAACTTGTATGATTGTGTGAATCAAATAGGAGTGCAGGCTGCTTGCCAAGACAAATGTACAGAAGATCACTTTTATTATGAGCTTTACCTAGCCAGCAGCAAAATGGTAGAAAAAAAATAAATAAATAAAAGTGCTGAAATGCAAACCTATGACCAGGAGCAGCAGCCCCCAGTTTAAGATGGCCATCTTTTTTACCCCCTCCTTAGGCTCATGTACACTGCAGCTGATAAACCCACGTTTAGGAGCTTTTCTGCGTTTTTTTTCAGCAGCCCCTGAACTCTCCCTAATGTTTTCCTATGTGTCCATGTACACATCGTCGTTTACAGGCAGTTGAGTTTACAGTCGTTTTTTTTTGAACGCACCAAACTTGCGTTCAGGAGTAGATTTTATCAGCGTTTCAAACGCCAAACACTTATAAATGCGTGTAAATGAGGCTAACCGCGTTTATAAGCGTTCGGAAATTTTTTTTCAACACTTCCATTTCCAGATGCTGTCCAGAGCCTTTTTTCATCATGAAAAATGCATGCAAAGCGGTTTCCCCGGTACTCAAATGGACCCGGTACACCATACTTTGAGGTTTTGCATGAAAGAAAATGTTAGACACTGCTGCAATAATTTCTGCACTGAAATGAGCTGGAACACATCCAGAACACAACAAAAAAAAAAAAAAATACAGCTAATCTCAACAAATACTGCTCTCTCCATTTCTCTCAAAATGTCTGAAATAGTTCATTTTTACTGTTTTTGTGCATTCTGGGCATTTTGGAAGGTCTCCTGAGGTTATCTTTAAAAACGTTTTCTAAACGCAAACGCTCATAAACACGGTATGCAAACGCAGCTAAACAGACTTTTTTTAATCTACGCTTTCCAGCAGTCAGTTTCCATCATTCAGAAGTGTCCCGTGTACACGGAGCCTTATAGCCAGAATTCAGGACAGGATCTGTGCAAGGCACTTTTACCATCAACTTTACATATCCAGTAGCAAGGAAGAGAGAAGGCCTTACTGTAAATGGAACTTGAGGTTCACTTTAACAGTTCCTCATTATAAAAAAAAAAAACAAAAAAAAAAGGAAATTCTGCTTTTTAGACCACAGTTCCCAAAAGCAATCTAATCAAAATCTTTAACAAAACAGTTTTTCTCTAAAATGCACCTAGTGTGCTGTCTGCTAAATCTCCAGCACACGAAGGTCAGTCCTCAGTCTTGATGTGCAAAACCATTACATAATCTCAGTCATTTAGCTAAAAACTGTACTAAACCTCTGACACGCTGGCTGCTTTTGTAAATGGCCTGTGAATGTGCACAGTGCATTACAGAGAGTCAAGCTGTGCTTCTCGGCAGCCCTGTAAAAATCGTCTGCTAGAAAACTAATTATTGTGGAGAGGAGACAGCTGCTGTGGGCAGAAGCTCCACCAACAAGCACACAAACTTCATTCTTAAAGGGAAATGGGCAATTTTCAATTTGTGCAACTAAGTTTTGTACTGTAGTGTTTAACCGATTCCCCTCCACCCTATAGCAGAGATACTGCTACAGGGGAGCAGGGGTGCGCAAGATCACACATATATACATATATATATGTGATTTCACATTTCCAGGTAGGGGGCATGCTGAAGCCGTTCACGCGCCCTACCCGCACCACCATTCGCAGCCTCGGCTGTCAATCACTGAGTCCAGGCCGGCGATTGCTCGCCGGCACCTGGTGATCGCCGAGTGTCTCCATCGGGGGGAGAGACCTGTGTATAAACACAAATCTCTCCCCTGTCAGCTCCTGCACACTGCTTTGTATGGCTCTGCATAGCAAAGCAGTGTGCTTACAGTGAAGCACACACACACAGCCCAAGTAGTGAAACAGCACAATTAACCCTTTGATCGCCCCAGATGTTAACCCCTTCATGCCCAGTGCCATTAGTATAGTGTCATTGCTTTTTATTAACACTGATCACTGTATTGGTGTCACTGGGGATGACACCAAGTCAGTTCCCCCCAGTGTCAGAATGCCCGCTGCAGTCCCACTATAAGTTGCTGATCTCTGCCATTACTAGTAAGAAAACTAAATTAAAAAAAAAAAATTCCAGTATATATACCGCCATTTGTAAACACTAACTTTCACGTAAACCAATTAATTTACATGTATTGGGATTTTATTTTAGCAAAGACATGTAGCAGAATACATTTTTGGCCTAAATTTATGATGAAAATTGATTTTTTACATTTATTTTCTTGGACATGTTTAAGAGCAAGAAGTCAAAAATATTGTTTTTTTTTTTTCTCAAAATTGTCGGTCTTTTTTTGTTTATAGCACAAAAAATAAACGCAGAGGCGATCAAATGAAGAAAGCTCTATTTGTGGGGAAAAAAAGGACTTAAATTTAATTTGGAAGCAGTGTTGCATGATTGCGCAACTGTCAGTTAAAGTAATGCAGAGCCGTAACACAAAAAATGGCCTGCTCAGGAAGGGGGGTATAGCCTCAGGAGGGCAAGTGGGTAATCTAAATAAACAAAAAAGCCATATATTGCTCCTTAGATGTGGTGTCTGCAATAGTCTATTTCACTTTCAGGAAATACAGAAAAAAAATATTTGCTTATTCTGATGGGTCTTGTGTCCTTGCCACTTCCTGGGCAATGAACAGATATCTCGCACAAATCTATCTGCTGTACCAGGTATCTCCTGAGAACTACAAAAAACCTCTCCTCCATATATACAGGAGATAAGAAGAGGAGGGGGTGTGCAGTCCAAATCAGAAGAGCAGCCTAAAGCAGCCCATACATTGATTTTTTTTTTTTTTCATTCAACCAGCGGGTTGAATGAACAAAATGATCAGATTCCCCATCCACACATTTGAGGTATTGTATTGACAGTGGGAGACTTCCCCGCAATCAGAACACTATGATGACTGTTGCTGGCTATAGCCAGTAGCACTATTAATTCGGGAAAAACCTGACAGGCTGCTTGTACACAAGTCAAAACAAATGCAATACAGTCTGCTGCCATGGTCTATTTTGTTGATTTCAAAAACCTTTGGGAAAATCAAGGGAGCGTTCACAGCTGCTTTGGGCAAGCCACTGGAACACAGAGACAGGCAAACAAGACAAAATAATAAACCAAAGCGCTTGGGGGTTCCCAATAGAATTGATTTGGGATAACCAAGCCTGAAGAAAATAGCAGTCAATATTCACCAGTGTGGCAGTAAGGTTGTGCACAAGAGATTTTGTCGCTTGTGTGGTGGTAATCCGATGTTCATCGGTATGGCAGAAAAAACAAACAAAGGAGACTTGATTTAAATCAAATCCACCCATTCTCCGGAGTCCCGAGCTCAGCTCTGCTCCTATCTGCCCTCCACACACCGAACCCTCACAGGGAAGGGATAAGCCTACTACCAAGCCTTTTCTGACACTTTTTGTTCACATAAAAAAAGTTTTGTTTTTGTTTTTTTGCTACAAAATTACTTTGAACCCCTAAACATATATATTTTTTTTAAAGAATACACTTTTTAGAATTTTAATGCACAAAAACAATATATTGCCCAATTGTTTGCTAAATTATAAAAGATGATGTTACACCAAGTAAATAGATACCAAACATGACATGCTTTAAAACTGGGCATGCCCGTAAATTTTAAATATTGATAGGTGACGTTTTAAAAGCCTTTACAGGTCACCAATTTATATGTACATGGGAGGTCTATTGTTATAATTACTGCCCTCAATCTGACGTTTGCGGTGATACCTCACATGCATGGTACAATCTCTATTTAAGACTTTTATTGTTATCACAGTGAATTTCTCTTCTGAGAAATCTGGGCTGGGTGTGATCAGATGCTTTCCCAATTTAAAAATGGCGCTGTCAAAGTCTGGCGAAATGGAAATGATGATATGCTCGTAGCTTCCGGTCTCTTAGACCATAGAGATGATTGGAGCCATTCTGGTAACTGATCAGAACTGCCGGCTGCATTCTCGGATCCCTCTGTGGGACAGCAGAGCCCAAAAAACTGTTGAAGGCGACAGTGGGGGGGGGGAGGTTGAGTACTTTCTGCATATGGTCCTCTGCTTGTAAAAACGATTCAGCAGCTAATTAATTGGCCACTAGGATTACTTTTACATGAAAGCCAACCGCCAGCTGAAAAAAATGATACCAAGATGATGCCTGTAGCTGCAGGCATCATTTCGGTATAACCACTCAAAGTCCAGTGACGTACCAGTACATTGTTGGTCCATGTTGGGTATATATGTAACAGCAGAGAACATGGGCATATGATGAATTAGGTCTGCGGACCAATATGACCGCAATTCATTCTTTTCTGTAATGCCCATGTTGAGGGTTAAGCCCAAAAAAGTTTTAAATTCAGAAACCGTGATAGGTTTCCATGCGAATTGTCTGGCAAGAGCTGAATTTGGGTGTGCGGTGTATTGTTGTGCATATAAATTGCCTTGGCCCACAATCAGTTCGTACAAAAACAGTGGAGGGGCTGAATGCCAGTGCTGGCAGCTAACGGGGCCGATCCTGCTAACACTGCATTTTTGGGGACACTATACAAAGCAGGCACTACTATAATACTGTTCATGATCAATATATTGATCCGTACAAACACTATACTAGTAATGGCAGTGATCAGTGACCTATAGCGTGAGTGCGATAGTGTGCGGGCAATCTAACGCTAGTTGACCCTGACTGGGTTGTGCACTAACTGACCCTGACGCTATCTGATGTTGCTAATGGCAGGAATACAGTGATCAGTGAAAAATTCTATATACAGACACTGTACTAATGGCACTGGCTGGGTGACTGGGCGATCAAAGGGTTAAATATGCTAATCTAACGTGTAAAATGTAGTACTTTTACTTGGTGCCGTGCTCTCTCTTCTCTCCCTGGCCCGACCAGGGGAGGTGGCAGCAGTGGGCACAAGCATGTTCACACCCCTAAACAGAAGGAGCCGCTGCTCGCCCAAATGTAAGTGGTCGGCAAATAATTTAAAAAAAAAAAAAACCTTAAAAATTATTTTTTTTTTACATTCTCAATATGTTTTTTTTTTTTTTTTTTACATTTATTACATTCATTATTTATTTTTAATTATTTTATCAGAATAGTACAGTGTTACCATAACATTGTACTACTGTGGAAGGGTGATCGGAGATTTTTTTTTTTCTTTACACTTTGCTTTGCAGGAGAAAAAAAAAATTTCTCTTGCAATGCTATGCTTGCTGTCATGAACCTAACTCATTCATGAACTGTCATGAATGAGTTAGGCTTTTGACAGCTCAAGATAGTGATCTGTGATACAGAGTGCTGTGATTGGTCCCATGTATCATGTGACAGGTGTGGGCCAATCACAGCTCACTAGGAAGAGAAGCAGAGCTGTTATGAATCTGATTCATAGCAGCTTTGCTAACATTGTGATCATGTAATCGCTTAGCGATCACCGAGATCTTCATTCCGCTTTGTCCACAGGACACAGCAGTCGCGGGTGGGGAGTGCAGCGCCCCGTGTTAGTACAGCCATAGCGATGTACCCATACGTCACTTTGCCTGTAGCTGCCACCCGGCTGCATTATATTGCGGGTGGGTAGCGGCTCACATGTTATAGTAGAAATGAACCTTTTATTGAAACAAAAATTAGTTTTGAATCCAAAAACTTGTTCGCAAACTACTGAACTTTGGCATCATGAAATTCCTAGTTTAAAATATTCAAAAATTATAACTGAGGGATGTGGGATACCAGTTATAATCATTTCTTACTGATCTGCTCAATTTAATAAAAATTTTTTGTTAGAAAATATTAAAAATCATATCAGTGTTTTACTGCTGTGTCCTTGTTGGAGATTTCCCCTCACTTCCTATCAGGTGTCAGGTGTCAGATTGTGTGAAAATCCAAAGCTAAACAAAAAAAAAATAAAATCGTTTGGCCTTGATATACACTGCACCTACCGAGTTCTTGGAGGTCGGACACAGATGAGTTTGTTTACTTTCTCCACCACACCAGCCACCGACCCCAACAGCTTGTCCTCTTCCATGTAGGTTCCATGACCTCTGAAAAAATAAAGATGGTGGTTGAATGTCAGCTAACATAAGCAACAAAGCTTTAAAGCTTCTACAGAAGAAGTGAAGTCTTATCCAAAAAAAATAGGCCTTATAAGGCATACTAGAGCACATGCTGTCTGTCCAGTACTACAGCTTTGCTGTTACAAAACATTTTTGTTAAGGTTTTACAGGTTACAGAGCAATGGCTGGATGAATGATAAAGAGAATTTGGCACTGGACAAAGATACAGTCACAGGACAGAGGCACTGCCACCCTCAAATTACACAACAGTCTGAACACAGTATATACAGACTACCAGTGGAAATCAAATACACTGCTAAAAAAAAAAATATGAAAGGAACACTTTGAAAACACATCAGATCTCAATGGGAAAAATCTCCTGCTGGATATCTATACTGATATAGACTGGGTAATGTGTTAGGAATGTAAGGATGTCTCATCGTTTGATGGAAATGAAAATTATCAACCTACAGAGAACTGAATTCAAAGACACCCTGAAAATCAAAGTGAAAAAATGATGCAGCAGGCTAGTCCATTTTGCTGAAATTTCATTGCAGCAACTCAAAATGGTCCTCAGTAGTTTGTATGGCCCCCACATGCTTGTATGCATGCCTGACAACGTGAGGGCATGCTCCTAATGAGACTACGGATGGTGTCCTGGGGTAATTCCTCCCAGATCTGGACCAGGGCATCACTGAGCTCCTGGACAGTCTGAGGTGCAACCTGGCAGTGTCGGATGGACCGAAACATGATATCCAGAGGTGTTCTATCGGATTTAGGTCAGGCGAGCGTGGGGGCCGTTTAGTGGTATGAATTCCTTCATCCTCCAGGAACTGCCTGCATACTCTCACCACATGAGGCCAGGTATTGTCGTGCACCAGGAGGAACTCAGGACCCACTACACCAATATAAGGTCTGACAATGGGTCCAAGGATTTCATCCCGATACCCAATGGCAGTAAGGGTGCCATTGTCTAGCCTGTAGAGTTCTGTGCGTTCCTCCATGGATATATCTGCCCAAAACATCACTGACCCACCACCAAAACGGTCATGCTAAACAATGTTGCAGGCCATATAACGTTTCCACGCTTCTCCAGACTCTTTTACATCTGTCACGTGATCAGGGTGAACCTGCTCTCATCTGTGAAAAGCACAGGGCGCCAGTGGTGGACATGCCAATTCTGGTGTTCAATGGCAAATGCCAATCGACCTCTGTGGTGCAGGGCAGTGAGCAACAGGGCCCACTAGAGGAAGTGGGGCCCTCAGGCCACCCTCATGAAGTCTGTTTCTGATTATCTGATCAGAGACATTCCCACCAGTTGCCTGCTGGAGGTAATTTTGTAGGGCTCTGGCTGTGCTTATCCTGTTCCTCCTTGCAACAAAGGAGCAGATACTGTTTCTGCTGATGGGTTTAAGGACCTTCTACGGCCCTGTTCAGCTCTCCTAGAGTAACTTCTTGTCTTCTGGAATCTCCTCCATGCTCTTGAGACTGTGCTGGGAGACAAAGCAAACCTTCTGGCAATGGCACGTATTGATGTGCCATCCTGGAGGAGTTGGACTGCCTGTGCAACCTCTGTAGGGTCCAAGTATCGTCTCATGCTACCAGTAGTGACATTGACCAAAGCCAAACTCAAAACTAGTGAAAAACAGAAAAGACAAGTAGAGAAAAAATGTTGGTGGCCTCCACCTGTAACACCAGCCACCCCCCTCCTCTACTTAACTGACCAGCTCTATATCCCAGAAGTTTAATTGACTTGATGGTATACTATAATTAGAAAGTGTTCCTTTAAATTTTCTGAGCAGTGTATATACATAAGGTGAGGGGTGCAGCCTGCATCTTAGAATATGATATAGCAGGTCTCAGGTCTGTCAGAGTAACCCAACTGCCAGGTCAGTGTCATCTAGAAAAATTATTATACAGGAGTTATATAGTGCTAACAGTTTTGTGCAGCGCTTTACAACGAGAGGGCAGACAGTACAATTACAATACAATTTAATACGGATGACTCGGAGAGCCCTGCTCATTAGATATTACAATCTAAAATGGAGGGTCAATTGATAAAAAAACGGTAATAACTGTGGGGGATGAGCTGATGGAGAAAAAGTACAGATATCAGGGTGGGGCAGGAAAGGCTTGTCTGAAGAGATGGGTTTTCAGGGATCGTCTAAATGTAGACAGAGTACAGGATGGTCAGATTGGGGTAGAGAAGGGAGGAGAGGGGGAGAGGAAGGGGGGAGGGGGGAGGAAAAAACAGAAAGGGGGGAGGGGGAGGGAAAAGACAGAAAGGGGGGAGGGGGGAGGGAAAAGACAGAAAGGGGGGAGGGGGGAGGGAAAAGACAGAAAGGGGGGGAGGGGGGAGGGAAAAAGACAGAAAGGGGGAGGGGGAGGGAAAAGGGCAGAAAGGGGGGAGGGGGAGGGAAAAGACAGAAAGGGGGAGGGGGAGGGAAAAGACAGAAAGGGGGGGGAGGGGGGAGGGAAAAGACAGAAAGGGGGGAGGGGGGAGGGAAAAGACAGAAAGGGGGGGAGGGGGGGAAAAGACAGAAAGGGGGGAGGGAAAAGACAGAAAGGGGGGAGGGGGGGGAAAAAAAACGAAAGGGGGGGGGGGGAAAAGACAGAAAAGGG